ATTTTTCATCAATAAAAAATTAATAAATATAGGTCTTTACAATACTTGGCACTGCATGTTTACATTGATTTAAAAAATACGAAAATATTTGCAAAACTGTACTTATTAATGTGTACTCGTGATTAGATAAATCTGTTAAAGTTTTCTCGAATTGTAAGCAGCAGAAGTTTAAATGATTATAAAAGGCAATATATCATATAATATATAGTCTTTTTTATTATATATCAAAACATTTTTTAAATATGTAACCTTTTATCAGAAATACGAAACATTCCTTAATTGAGTTGTTGAACAACTATCAACTTCCGGTACAAAGTGCTTTGCTTGAAAGTGAAAAATTAAAAACAATGATTTTAATGTTTGTATACAATATTCTAGGATGGCTTAAAGAATCTTTTGATATAACTTTATCGAAGTTGAAATATTTTGTCACAAGAATTGTTGTGTTCATTACTGTGTTTGCCATTTTACTATGGTTTTCAGCCTTCTTGTATGGGAGCTTTTATTTTGCCTATATGCCTCCTGTGTCTTTAACAAAACCTGTAAACTTACAGTTTAGGTAAGTCTGAAAAATAAGCCTTACAAATAAGTTTTCTATTGTCAGTGCTACTTAATGAGACCAACGCCACATTTTCCATACAAGTTCCAGTGTAGACTTATGGAGGTTACAAATATGTTGACGGTGCGACCGTTGGGGCGAGCGCATTGTTCACTTCATTTTAAGACCCGCCTCTTCAAACCGCACGAGACATTTGGAACGTCTACACTGTGACGTCACATGACGTATGTTAGCTGCATTTCCATAAACAAAGTTTAAAAAGTGCACATATTTTAACAAAGAACGTTTAATCTACTATCTTCATGCAATATCAATTAAATTAAGGTGAGTTTATTTTTTGTGAATTTTAAGTTGTTGTTACCGCGTGAATGAAGCTAGCAGCGAGAACAAGAAGTGATGCATTGTGGGTCAGAATTACTGCGGAAAAAAATTCTATTGAATGAATGTGCAGTAGTCCGAATTTTCTCTTCGCCCAAGCGTTGTCGTTAGAGCTCGCAGTGACGAGCGGCGCTTCGCGCCGCTCGCTGCGCTCGCTATTATGTTTATTGATTGACTACATCTTGGAACGACTTGACTTTACCAGTCCCCAGAAAAAATGCGCTAAAATATAGTGTCGCCGTAGGCGACTTCAATATATATGAGATCGCATGAGTGATTGAAAAAATAAAAAGTATGAGGTTTTAAGCCTTTTTGAGCCCAAAATCGAATTCTATGGCTAAAAGTTTAATTTAAAACTTTGTTTTTAACGAAGTTTTTAACCTTGTTGTCTGGGGGAAAAAACCCAATAAATATTGTTTATTCAATCAAAAGACGACAAAAAATAAATGTCAACGAAGCGCGTGCGGTGCATGCTTAGTGCCGTTTTTTTTTTACCTAGACATTTTTGTCATGTAAACAAACCAACGAGATGCTGAATTAAGCTGAATGAAGATCTTGCGAAAAATACAAAAGCAACTTAATTTCTTAATTAATCTAAAAAAACAAGACACTAACCCTAATCTCTCGGATGGTATGCGAGGACTAACCCAAATCTCCTGAGCGGATGCTAGACTAACCCATGTGTGAGGACTATCCCTAATCTCTTGGATGGATGCTAGACTAACCCTAATCAGTCGAAAACTTGTGCAAGGGCTAACCCTAATCTTTCAGGTGGGTGTAAGACTAACCCTAACCAGTCGAAAAATGTGCAAGACTAACCCTTATCAGTTGAGTGAATCTTATGCCATAGTGCAATGAGCGCACGGATCTTGCAGATCTGGGGACCGGTAAAGTAAAGTCTACCCTACATCTTTTTATGCTAATTCTTACTTTATACTCTTTAAAGGATATGTGAAGATGGAATAGGGATGTGTTCATACCCCTCAGACAATATAACATTGGTTAAAGAGGGCCAAACTGAGGTAATCATGTATTTGATTGCAATTTGCTATTTCAATTGTTATGGTTTGGGCCTTGGATGTGGCAGATAACAAACCATTACACAATTTACAAAGTTTTTATGAAGGATTCAGAAGGAATATTTAAGCAACTCGCAGGCAGATTGTCCAAAACCACAATAACTTGAAATCAAGAGAGATGTCCAGTTGTTGATACCTGTAGGTGTCCCTGGTTCATGGAGTCCCTTCAGGGCTGTCATTGGGGTACCATGGGGTATTAATTGGTATCATTAGGGTTCCTTGGGGTATCCTACGGGTAAAAGGACATGCCAAAAATGAAAAGATCATCATACTCTAGTAAAATTTTCATGCAAAAACTAAAGATTTCATGTTGAACTATGAGAAATAAACAGTGGTGGTATAATTATCTCTAAATTTGATTCCTCTACCATGCTTCAAATTAAAAGAAAAGCATAATTGTATTTATAAATGATGTTTTTATTTTCAAAGACCTTATTAATTCAATAAATTTAATTGCATAATGCTTTGCACAATATATCATCATTAATGATTAGGACTGGGATGATATATTGAGATATCGATTCTGTGTTAGGATGATATGCATATCAATATGTATGAGGCAATATCGCAAAAAAAAATTCTGACATGGTTTTTTTTTTTGGTTTACTTAACATTTTGGGTTAAATATATAAAATAAATATGCTAAATATAAATATGAAATATAATATAATAATTAACACCACTTGTGTAAAATAACTATGTTTTACAACAGATATACAACTTCTTTGAAAAAATTATTCTTATTTGTGAAGACTTGTTTTGCTCATTTCAATACAAAAAAAAAGATTTTATAACCAATAAAACATATCGTGATACATATCGTACCATCACTACCATGGCTCAAATATCATGATATATCAAAATAGAAAAATTTGTATCATTCCAGCCCTGTAGGTTCCTATTAATGATAAATTTAATTATATAGAGCTGTAATATATATTTCACATCTTAATATCATATGCACGCTGCAGAAATATTTCTGCAAGTTAACATATTTTAAAAGATGAAATTAACGTAATCATACAGGTAACTCTTGATGGCTCGAACTTCGATCTCTCGAAGTTCTTGATCGCTCGAAGTGAGTCTCCGGTCCCGAATTTTTCCAATATATAACTAAGCAAATTTACTCTTGATTTCTCGAACTCTTGATCTCTCGAAACCCTTGATCCCTCGAAGTCAAAATGCAGTCCCGCTATGCATATTCTATTAGAATTTACCCTCGATACCTCGAAGTGGCTATGTGTATACAAGATTATATAATTAGTACCTTTACCTGGACATTTAAATGGCCCCAGGCAGAAGACGCGGGTCTCGAGGAACAGGATGTTTATTCAGGTGACACTTATGCTGCAAGGTGATAATTGATTTATAATGAATCATATTTTGCCTATATGCTATTAAAATAATTATCATCGACTGTCTTACGATAATTTAGAGACGCAGTGTCATTGAAAAGTAGTAATTTATTAAAAGACAAAACACTAATTTAATTTTTATTTCGAGTCAGTGTCAAAGTTGAACGAAATATGAAAAAAGCAGAAACAGCCTCAATGTCAATATGACGACTATTATTGGACCAATACCTACAGAACTGCGTTCAATGGTCAATGTTTGGAATCGTCAATGCTATGTACGACGCTGTAAAATGTCGTTTTCATGTAACGAACAGCTGACGAATGCGTAGTATGATGTCCGTATTACAACGAATAAATAAATATACATGATATGACGATATACATTTTTTGCTTTACTCAGTTTAATGAAATATTCATCTGAATTACGAAAAAATATCGTTGTTTTATAAAAACCACGTGTAAAAGGTTAGCACTGCATGAAAATCATTACATCCGGTAAGACTAATTTTAAAACCTGTCAAAAAACCCGGAAAATTCCGGACTCTCGAAAACTCGAACTCTCGAAGTTTTTCCTCGGTCCCGCGGACTTCGAGGTTTCGAGAGTTACCTGTATTTTGGTTAACCCACTACATAAGCAAGTCTGGACTTCCATTGTTGGTTACAAGTTGACTTTCTGGGTTTGAATTAATGTGGTTTTGAGTTGTTCATATTAAATTGACTTATCCTAAAAGAAGTACTGTTCAGAGTAGTAAGGTGTCCATCATCTATCCATCTGTCTGTCTGTCTGTCTGTCCGTCTGTAAACAATTTTTCAAAATGGTACTCCTCTGAGAGTCTTGTATTTATTGGTTTTTGATTTCCATTAACAATGTTGCTATGGTTTCTAAAATTAGAAATTTTTTTCAAATATTTTCAAAATGCTACTCGTCCTACAAATTGGTCCGATTTCAATATAACTTGACATACAAATAAACTATACTAAGATACATAATTCTATTTATCAGTTTTTGATCTCTTTGAACAATATTGCCATGGTTACTAAAAATAGAAATTTTTCTAAAATACTCTCAAAATGCTACTCCTCCTACAGTTTTGGTCTGATTTCTTAATATATAACTTGGAACACAAGTAGACACTAAGATACATAATTCTATACATCCATTTTGATTTCATTGAACGATGTGCCATGTTAACTAAAATTAAAAAATTCTGTGAAATTCTTTCTAAATGCTACTCCTCCTACAGTTTAATCTGATTGCAATAAATCTTGCCACAAAAAGAAACAAAACCAAGAATCATGATTCTATTTATTGCTGTAGCAAAGTTTCAAGTCTGAGTGCTAGTTTTCTCTTCCTTTGTTATAAATACAAAGCAGTAGAGCTAGAGTCTCATCAGAGACTTCTGGATTTGTTTTGGGTTTTGAATAAATCAAGTTTAACTTAAATTAAAAATCAATAAATAATCTTATGACAGCATAAAACAAACTCTAACAGATCACTATTTGATGTTTAATGCTGTTCTATCTCATTTTCTCTTCTCAAGGTGTTTGCAAGAGGTGAAACATACACAATCAAAATGGAAACAGAGCTTCCAGAATCTCCGGTAAACAAGGAATTGGGTATGTATGGCTAATATCACAAACATATGGTGAAAGAAATAGGTGATTACAATTTAATTTTGTAAGTTACAAAATGTTGTATCAATTTTCCATGTTGTTTTTGTGTGTATTTGATCTTTAACACTTTTCAATTTTATCATCTAGGAAATGGTTATGACATAAATTTGATTTTTAATACCATGTCTGCATACATGTGTGTATTGAGCTGAATTTTGGCATGTGGATGTCTGATATCAGGCATTACTTACACATGTACAAGTTGCTTACATGTAAAGAGAAAATGTCAAACAATGAAAATGTTATTAATGCATTTTCTTTTCACATTTTCTGTTTTATTAGATAAAATTTAGTGTTTTCCAATTACTCTCTGTAAGAATTATATAGGTAAGAACACAAAAAAATATGTGGAAGGAGTAAAAAATAAAAATAAAAAAAAGACAAAGCAAAAAAAAAAAATAAAATAACAAGAGGCCCATGGGCAAAAATGCTCATCTGAGTAACTATGGACCTTCTTGATTTTCATAGGTTAATTTATTTGCCCTACATTTTCCTATGTTAAATTTTAATTGCCAACTTTAGCCCTAGTCCCTACCCCCATGGGTCATGCTTTGAATAAACTTCCATCTAGACTACCTGAGGATGCTTCCTTATAAATATGATTAATCATTGCCTTCCTGTTTGAGAGGATTTCTAAAAAAAATTCCTTTGTATTCCTACATAAATTTTGATTACTCATAGCTGCCCCACCCTACTCTCGGGAGTCATATGATTTGAGGAAACTTGAATAGACACTACCTGTGGATGCTTCTGTATAATAATGACTTATCATGGCTTTTCTGTTCTTGATAAAGATTTCTTTATCCCTTTGCTATTCCTATGTAAAACTTTGTTTGCTCACAGTGGCACAAGCAACCCCAGGGGGGTTATGATGAATCTACACTATGTCAGGAAGCTTTCATATAAGTTTCTTTTTTTCTGGCCCATTGGTTCTTGAGAAGATTTTAAATGATCCCATCCAAGTTTTACTTTTTCTTAATAATCTCCTTGGAAGAGGGTGTGGTCCTTCATTTGAACAAATTTGAATCCCCTTCACCCAAGGATACTCTGTGTCAGGATTGGTTGGAATGGGCCCCATTGTTCTTGAGAAGATGAAATTGAAAAAAGTTTACAATGACAACAGCAAGGATGACTTGAACCTGGGGATAGGTGGGGACCACATATACTATATGTGTACTTAAAATAGCGGGCTTCATATTTTAGCGGCTTTGGCACGGACAACAATGCCCTAATCCATGAATACCGCTAATAAATCATTTATAAATACAATATATGGCATGGTTTTGTGTAGCGCTAACATGAATACGCTATCAACTCAATACTCAGTGATTGCGCTAAATTTTGAATATGCCAATTTATGTACACAAACAGTATATATTTAAACTTTTCAAATCCATGCCAAAAATGATCAGGTCAGCAATGTGGCTCATGGGCCTCTTTATACTGTGGGTTGTTTGACTAAAACCTGTAGCACATTGAAAAGAAAATTTTGAAATATTTTGAAAAACAATTCAAAAATATTAGATGTCATTATACCCCCGCTCCTTGAAGGAGTGGGGGTATACTGTTTTACCCTTGTGTGTCCGATGTCAACTTCCTGTTTATCCATGTGTCTGTCCATACAAAATTTCAGTTACAGTTTTCTCAGCAACTACTCATTGCAGATGCTTGAAATTTTAGCACACTCTTTGTTTAGGCCTGTCATTTGGTGGGATTCTGTTTATCTCTGCGTCTGTCCTTACCAAATTCACATCAGAGCGTGGGTATTACTAGTGAGCTTTGGCTCACAGACTTCTTGTTCATACTCATAAACTATCTTTAACAGACTATAATTCACATCTGTTAATCATGGTTTATCATCATAAACTATAATTCACACTACGCACTAGTAAACTAGAGTTAAGACTAAGAGTAAATATAGTTTATGAATCTAAACACCTCTTAACTGTTAATGATACTTTTTAATTCAAAATCTTGTGAAACCAATCCCAAGAGTTATTACATTTAACAGAATTAATTTCTCTTCTTGATAATCTTAATTAAGTCAAGTTTTCAGTTTCTCGTTTGATACCAGCAATGCTCAATCATCTTTGTTGGAAAGTCAGTGGCAGTGTTACAGGTAAACGTTAGCGAGTTACTTCATAGCTTATAAAGAAAAAATTGTATACAAACCATCCCCATTTTTTCTTCTTTTAACGAGAATGAATTTTAATTAATAATTGTCCTGTCATTTTGTTTTTTCATTTCCTATTAGATTTGCTTTAAAATGATTGAAAATTTACTTTTTAAGTCAACAAGTATCTCTTATATATTTTTAACATAGCGAATTTTGCATAGCAAAATCTTATCATTCTGTAGCTAGGATTAACTATATCTATGATTTATGAACAAAACTTTTGTTAACTATAGTAAATATATCATAAACTATAATTTAGATTCACAAAATATAGTTTTACAGAAAATTGTGCATCTCCAATACAAAATCAGAGATTCTGTCGTTAAACTGTGTTTCTCAAATGTAAAACTATATTTAACACAATTTTGTGAATTCGGAGCCTTAAATATCTGTGTTCTATAGTTTACAACAGTAAACTAACAGTAAACTATAATTAACATAATTTGTTAACTATAGTGATCTAAACCATAGTTAACAAATTTGAAATCATATTTATCAGAACTATGTTTTACAAATGATTGTTTTCAGTGAATTTGGCATGCCATATTTATAATTTCAGTATCAACTGAGTGTGGTTTAAGCTATAGCAGCTCGGTGATATACATATATATTTACATCTATTGAATATTATTTCCTTTATATCTTATGAAAACCATTGCCGTTTATCAGTCAGTAAATGACACTAAACAAGCCACCTTCATAGATTTCTTGAGCAACAGCTCTTCCATCAATTATGCATACAATGACGTACACATCTATAATACAATATTTAGTATATTTATTTTTACTTTTTATGTTTTTTATACATATATAAATATAAACAATAAAATGTCTTTCTTTCTTTGTTAGTTTGGAAATTAACGTCACAGCTATTGCAGCGAAAAATTTATATTTTCTGCAACAGCTGCGACATTAATTCCCATACTAACAACCAAAGAAAGCATTTTATTTTATTGTTTAAATGTACAAGTACTATCAGTACTGTGATACCTTGTTAATTTCTATATATGTACAGCATATGTACTTATAGTACCACTACTGTGTTAACACTTGTTTGTTAACATTTTAGGAATGTTTATGGTGAAGCTACAGCTCTATAACAAGGCAGGAGAGTTTGTCGCCAGCTCCTCTCGATCTGTAAGTGTAGGTGACACTTTCTGATAACCCATAATCTGCACTGCATTTCCACACTGTACTAAATTATGTAATATGACAGACAAAATATTTGGACACAATTTGACAACTGTAGAATCCTCATTGTCGTGGGGAGACCAGTGTGATTTTGTAGGTCACCCTTACACAAAAAGTACATCCCTATGAATCTTCTGTATATATGATATCCGTGAAATAACATCCCTATGAACCAGTAGAATTTTGATTGCCCATGAGCATTGACCCTCAACGATTCCATAGTATGTATAGTTGTAAAATTTCAAAATGAGGTCGATTATTCTGACCTCATTTTGGGTCACAACATATTCCTCCAAGATACATCAAATGATAATATTGAAATTAGGTTTGATGATTGTAGGTCCTACACTATTGAAGATGTGATCCAGTCACTTTTTTACCATCATGATGTAACTTTTGAAATAAAATTGTTCCCTACTTTTGGGTTTTATCCCCACGATACATCAACAAGGTTTGATAGTTCTAGGCCTCACAGTGTCAAAAATACAATCCATATTTGATGGAGAAGCCCAAAACACAATACAGCCCTGGAAAAATTAGGTGCATAAACATGGAATGGTGGTTTTAGCAAAGAAGAAAAAAGAAAAAATAACATCTTTGTCTGTTTTATGTTGCATTTTTTAGTTTTCTAAAATAAACTGAACAATAATGTACAAAAACTTTTGTATATGACCACTTTCCAGCACTCTATCAATATCCAGCTCACAAAGTCACAATGACAACTCCCCCCCCCCCCCCCCCCCCCCAACAAACCAACAAAAAATAATAGAAGAAAGTAATTTTAGAGATAAATCTTGCTATTAATATACTTACTTTTACTTACCATGCTTACTATTCTGACTTTGTACTGAAATTTTAAATTCTACTAGTCCAATAAATTCTGCACATCAAAAGAGCACTGGTAACAATGCTTGAACAATATCTTCTCATTTCACATGGTTTTTGGATAGAACATGTTGAGAATTATTGTGTTTTGTCTTTTACATATTTCTTCATTGTGGTATAAAAGTTAATTACTTTATGTTTTCTTAAGGTGAAGTCAATAGTTGTTAAAGGTAAAATTTCAAATTTTACATATGAATGAAACATTTAACACTACTCACTTGTAAAAAGTTCTTAGCTACTGAGAAAGCTTTCAGTGAAAATTTCAATATACATGTAAATCATTCTTATTCAAAACACTGATACATGTATATATCAGAACATTTGAGAGTATACTGAACTTTGTCTATGTACTTGTAGATAATACTGCACTACAGGTCGGAATTGCTGAGGATCTTGGACACATTTGTGTTTTCTCCACTTCTTCTATCCGGCTTTGCAGAACAAAAGCAGTCGTTAACTGTGGAATTTTATAACAGCTACATTGATGACTCGGTAAGTTGTAATACTGTAAAAGGAAGTACAACAGAATAAAAATTGAAATTTAAAAAAATACTAAAAAGTTAACCAATAGTCTTTTCTCTGAATTTCAGTACAATCCTGCTGTTGGAGCATATATAGAGGTCCAAAACAAACGAATACAGATTTACTCTGCTACACTCAAGATACATGCTCACTTTAGTGGTTTAAGGCAAGTATGACATTTGCAATGAACTTGATTTCTCAATGTACATGTAAAAAATATTTAAGTATCACTTTCTATATAATGGTTTGCATGTCATTTGTATATATTTTCTTCTTTTATTATTATTATTTTTTTTAATTTTAACTGTTTTACAGGTACATGTTATTCCATTGGCCTCTCCTTTCTGCTGCTATAGGAACAAGTCTGAATATGTGTCTACTTAGTTTTATTACACTGCTATCATGGTACCAGCTTTACTACAGTGGAGGGAATGGTAATTCTAATTCAATTGAATATGAGCCAGAGATCAGACGTAAGGATAAAACTGCAATGGAGGAAAGGAGAAAAAATATACGAGAAATGCTAGCCAGGGAAAGACAAGGTATAGACAAAATAAGTTATAAATTATCTATGATTATACTGTGAACAAACTCTCATTCATTTGCAACAATATATTGTTCTCACATATTCATTTTGTTGCAAATAGTCACTTCATATGCGATATTTATGAGATTAGAAGGCTATACCGTTAATACGAAGTAAGTCTTGTATGAATTTTCCATGGGTCTTTTATTGAATGTTGCAAGTAATTATCTGTTTACAGCATTTTTTTTTTTTCATAAAGTAAAAGTTGTTTTGAAAAGACAGTATAAAACAGTAACTGATTTTAGAGGAAAATGAAATGCCTATAGGCCTAGATAATTTCTGTATGATAATGAAAACAATGAAATTGATCAAGCTGACTTTGTTTTTATAGCAACAGAGGCACAAATGCAGGGAAGACCTCCACCAGACCAACAGTACTCGAAGTTAGAGACGATGGTTAGTAGAGAAATGGAAGAAGATACAGAGGAGAGTCTAATGACCACAAAGAGCTGTGAAAACTCAGACAGTGATTCAGTCCTACGTCACAGGCACCATGTAACCTCTTCATGATAGATCCTACTCTCTCTCATTTGTTATTGTTTCACTTGTTTTCAATTTTAAATACTGTTTTTAGAATAATTATTTAATGGAGAAAAGAATCAATTTTGTTTTCATTGGATACTAGCAGGCATTTTCCAAAACCAAGACAAGGTACAACTACCATTGAGTGACAAGGTTGTTTTACAATTGTGAATGTAGTTTTAAATTTCTCAGTCAATGTGTATTATTTTCTATTTTTATACTGTCTTTTTTTAATATCCTGATGTGAAAACAACCAGAAAGTTGAGATTATCTGATCAATTTAGAAAAACATACATCTGATCCATTTAGAAAAACATGTATGAGCTTGGTGACATATATGAAGATTTCATAAAGTCTGAACAAAAATCTGAAAGTGCCATGATAATGTACCAGTTCATATGTGCGTTTAGATCATGAATAAACAACATACTCATTGCTGTAAGGATTCCGAAAGTTGTGCTTTTTAAACAAATGATGAGCATGTTTAGAACAAGGGCAAAAAGTCAAAGAATGGAGAGATTGTTGCTATTATTATCATAAAACATAGTGCATGTACATACAAATAACATTCCATAGAAGTAATTAATCTGTAAGAACCTTATTACCTAAATTACACTGGATTGGTCCATATGCTTCGTACCACTTTCTTCTGGGGGGATAGGCTTAAAGAAGGAGGGTAATTGTACTCATTTGTAATTTTGGAGTGATAGGGGTGCAAGAGATTCTTTATACTGATCCAAGGAGATAATTGCTTTTGATTGAATGTCGAGTACTTCAACAAGATTCCATTTGATTTGTGTCATTAACTGCTCAGTATTAATTTCCCCAAAGTCTTTCAGTGTTTGTTTTTTTTATTGCACCAAATAATGTGGTTTTTTGTATGTGTGTGTGTGTGTGTGTGTGTGTGTGTGGAGGTGTTAATATTGTGTGGCTTCTCTTTTATTTTGAGAAATAGAGTTCATGTGAGAATGTAATTATAAAAGGAAATTTGACTTACATTTTTCAAATAAGTACATTTACTTGTATTTGAGTAAATTGGCTGGTTTGTGATAATTTTTAATTTTCAGTGTTTGTTGAAATATGTACTACTATCAAACTTTGATATCTTAAACATGATTGGATAGACAATAAAACTGATTGTTTAAAATATTGATGTTGAAGTTTAAATAACACAAAGGTCAAGATGACCTACCCTCTGCAGCATATAGCTTTCACATGTATTTAAGCATTAATGTTCCAGATATCAACATTACACTGTATGTTTAAATTGACTTTTATATTGTGGTGGACTGCAATAGATTTACTCTGTAACATTTGTGTAAACAAACCACTTTTGCAAATATTGACAGTTTTTCTTTTCATCAGCAAAGATTTGTGAATGATAAATTGCTATTAAAAAATTATGGTTCACAAAATTAAGAAGAACTGTATCTGAACTGTGCACACAATTTTAATCACAAGAATGCAATAAATATAAATGTAGAATACAAAACTTGATTCCCAAAGACAAGACTTGTGCAGTACATTTATATATATATGTATATAGAGAAAGAGAGAGAGAGAATTTTGCCGCAAGACTAGTGTTCTTTGTAGTATTATGTGATAAACATGTTTGTGAAAATATGATGTGTTTGTGTGTGAATTTCAATTCTCTGTCACATGGCTGAATGAAAACCTTTGCCTGTTCAACTTCAAAAGTTTGAATTATTTGTTAGCCTGTTCACTGTAGTTTACTTTTATGTTCGTACTTTACTAGCTGCTGTAAGATGTGATGTCCTTCAAGAACATCTTTTTGTAAGATTGCCTTTTTATGTTAATGAAAAGCATTGCCTGTTCAACTTAAAAAGTTTGAATTATTCGTTAGTCTGTTCACTGTAGTTTACTTTTATGTATTTAATTTAACATACTTTACTAGCTGCTGTAAGATGTGATGTACTTTAAGAGCATCTTTTTTTTGTAAAATTGCCTTTTTAATGTGACAGACAGGCATCCTGTTCTCAATTAGTAACTCTTGTTTTAGCTCATTAATCAAATCATTTAGTTTATACAAATCAAACACTCAGTTATTATCTACGTTTTCAAAAGAAACTGTGTATATTTTGCACATGCAAAAAAAAAGGCGAGTTGAAAAATGAAGATAATGTTCCTGTCTGTGCAGTGATCACCATCTTATTTAAGTTAAACATTTATTCTTGTTTTGCTAGAAAAAGAAATAAATCCATTTTATTTACCAGTGTATGTAAACTTTATGAATGGGCAATATTTACTTTGTATTTGAGCGCACAGAATGTGTGATAAATTGTTATTAAATTGTTTTATTTTATAAATAAATTTAAAAAAATACGACAAAGGACTGTATGACTGTATTGTACTTCAAACATTACAGTAACTGTAAATGTCTGAGAACAGAACAAATGCCGAATTCATTGCTTACTTAAATGATATTTGGGGGGGGGGGGGGGGGGGGGGGGTAAATGACAGAGGGATCAGAAAAAAACTTTTGCTAATGGAACATTCTTGTAATCATGTGTAAAATGTCTCAAAACATAACAGACTCCTGGGGCAAGTGAGATAAAACAACGAAACACACTTGACCTGAAGAATTTCTAAAGCTGCTTGGATGTATACATACATGTTAATTTTTCATTATTTTCACTTCATGATTTAAGGATTATCCATTGATGTCACATGCTATTGAATCAGAATGATGTGTATTAAAGCTACATGCCTTTTATATATAAAGTGCCACTTGGAACATTCTAATATATTTAACAAAAATTAAAGAGCTTGGTAAGAGGTAATGTAAAACTCGAAGGTTAATTTTAAAAGTGTCCCATTTCCTACAGGAAATACTGATGGAGAGGTTTAACATTCATCCCAAACTTCTGATTATTTCTGAAAAAAAATCTTGAACATTTCAGAGGAGATCCAGTTATTATAAGTTAAATTGTCTGTAAAGGAGAAAGGCTGAAAACTGTCCATTTTGTGAGAAAGAACTAATTGAGGGATGTAGACTCCAGAACAGCAAGACCATGAATGGTCATAATTTGCAAATGCAATTTGTAGAATCCACAAAACAAAGTTGATTTAAAGGAATGTATCTAATATCTACCCATGTTATATTTGTATAAACTGGTTTGGTGAAGTTTATGCAAATTATAAATCACGAAGTGGTTTATATAAATGCCATGAACTGTTTCAACCCAGGTTATACAATTAATGTAATTGAGTAACTATTAAATTTATTCCTTATAATTTTATGTTCCATCATTAAGTGAACAAGAGGCCAAAGGGCCTTGAATCGCTCTTCTGATAAACTGTACAATCTATCACTTCTATTTGAAGCCTCTAAGTATCCTGTATATTTAGATAAACCCTTGAAATTCCAAAGGTAGGTCATCATGACCTACGTTTTAGACGAAACACTCTGAGAACCCAAGGTGATTTTAAGCCAATTAGTACCTGAGAGTTGGTCATGGTGACCTACTTATCACTTGTCATTCTCTGAGGACTCAAGATGCATCAACTAAGTTTGATGATTCTAAGCCAATTAATACCTAATACAAACCTAAAATATTTTTAAAATTATAACCATAAAATTTCAGAAGTAAGTCACAGTGACCTACCTTTCAGATGACATACTTTGAGGACCCAAGATGCATCAGCTGACAAATTTTTATGATTCTAAGCCAATTAGTACCCGAAATATTTAATTAAAGCCATAAATTTTCAAAAGTAGGTCATGGTGACACTTGCTGGTAGGGGGCTAGTACTCTCAGAATGCTTGTTAGTCTTAACATTCATTTAGAATATATGGATTTAGTATAAATGCATATGGAAAGGACGTACTACCATATATAAATTTTTTTAGCTCTTCTGGTCAAAGTCCAGAAGAGCTAATGCGATAGTAAGGTGTCCATCATCTGTCTGTCTGCCTGTCAGTTTGTCTGTAAACAATTTTTCAGAATGCTACTCCTCCTACAGTTTCAGTCCAATTTCAATATAACTTAGCACACAAATAGACTACACTAAGATACATAATTCTGTATATCGTTTTTGATTTCATTGAACAATGTTGCCATGGTTACTAAAATTCGAAATTTCTGTGAAATTCTTTCAAAATGCTACTCCTCCTACAGTTTTAATCTAATTACTATATAATTTAGTGCACAAGTAGACTACACTAAGATACATAATTCTGTTTATCAGTGAAGGGTGTTGCCATGGTTACTAAAAATAGAAATTTCTGTGAAATTCTTTCAAAACACTACTCCTCCTACAGTTTCAGTCCGATTTCAATATAACTTGGTACACAAGTAGACTATATTAAGATACATAATTCTGTTTATTGATTTTTTGAATTTGTTGAAATGTTGCCATGGTTACTACAAATAGATATTCCTGTGAAATTCTTTCAAATTGTTACTCCTACTATAGTTTTGTCCAATTGCAGTTAAACTTGACTCAGAAAGAAAATAAACCAAGGATCATTATTTTATTTGTTGCTGTTGCCATAATTTCAAGTCCAAGTGCTAACTTTCTCTACTTTTGTTAAGTAAAAAACTAAAAGAGCTACAGTTTCATCAGATACTTCTGATTTTTCAGCAAATACATAGAATGTATTAATTTCCATCAATAAAACCATAAATGATAATAAAATTGAGGATAATGCAGGTACACCTTACACCTACACCTACACCTATAGGTTCTTTGCACCCTAAACGCTCATTTTGGGATCTAATGAGCAGGTTTTAACCATCACAATCAGAGAAAGGTGAATAACCTACAGCAATTGCAGCAGATTGTAATGTGTCAGACGTATATGTACAAAGCATACATTAAATCAACTGCTGCAAATCATCACATGAATAATCTGCAAGTCATTTTATCTTTAATAATGGGTGCTTTGAGTTCATGATTGATGACAAAGATGGATATCAATAGGTCAAATGGTTGACTATTAGTTTCCTAACAAAAGACAAAACCAACTAAATAATTTTTAAAAATTTATTGAAAACATAATGACAAGACAGAACATCAATGATGGTAAGCTACACCTAAACAGTGTATCCTGACATCTACACAACAACAACAACAGTGCTTAATCTCAACAGAAAATCGGAAATGATTACAGATCAATTCTCATAGCAACAATAACCCTAATACTAAGTGATGGTATAAAGAAATCAGTATGCAGTGCTAAGTTTACAATTACATACTAACATCAAAGCCTTATATTACAATGAAGCCATGTATTCTACGCAATAGTGAAAATGGAAACGTTGATGGAAAGACGTAACAAAATTTGAAATTCCAATCCTTTGCCCTTTATTTCTTTTTAAATTGAAAGAATAATTGACCAGAAAATTTATGTTAACGAAACTGGAATTCAATGGAATTAAAATTAGTAATGCTTATGTATAAAGAAAAGTCACTGATTGGGTTAAAAGTATGAGGAAAGAATTGCAAAGGATTAGCTTTGGAAGCCAATAATTTTGACTGATAATACAAATATAGCATAGCTGCCTGCTTCCACTGATGTAACGAGCACCAATGTAAAACCTTATCTAGAAAAACCAAACCAGACTTGTTCAATAAGCAATATTGCGAAACATGAATACTGTATACAGGGAAATTTTTGCCCCCACTTTATTTTCATCACTCTTTTGCCATCATTGTCAGTGGGAAAATTTTAAAATGGACAAATTTATTAAAGACACTAACTTCTTTTATAATACAACTGTGTCTACGCAAATCTAAGATGAGGTGAAATCATTTGAAATCAATAGATCATGCACCAGAGTTGGAATTGAATAGGGCCCACCCTAAAGAAATCTGCATCCAGCATCATTCAGGAGGCACTGACCATAACCCCCCAGGGCAAGAGGAAGAGAGGTCTGCCAAGAAACAGTTGGAGGTTAGACTCAGAAGAACTGAGGAGTCAAAGAACCAGCTGGCCATGGACAAAAGCTCAGGGCTGAGTCAGATGGAGTCTTTTATGGCATGTGCTTCTCCAGGGGGCAAAGAGCTTCATTAAGTAATGGTAAAGAATCATTTGCTTGTGCTAGGTAAAAATAACATGGGATAAAAATAACCCTGTATAATGTAATTATACAAATACTAATTAATCTAATTTGTTTACATTTTCCTCCAAAAGATGAACATATATAAGCAATTGTAACACATGGATACAATAATAAACTGAAGAAGTTACAAAGTACACTAAAAATTGAAGCTCAAGTCTAACATTTGGTTTTTCACAGTGCAAAAACTCAACTTTCTTGGTCAATTTATTATCTCTCCAGAACAATTATAACAGGGTTTGCATCAGAAAAAACTTCATAACAAGGGACGGTGCATAATAATTAAACAACATTATTCTGTAGACAAAAAAAAAGGTCTCCCTTTCAGATTGAGCCATGGTTTATTATCACTGCTGCATTTAGAAATTCTTTATTATTTTTTAAGAGCAAATAATAATTTGTTATTATATGGAAAAAAAAAAAAACTAACAAGAGGCCCATGTGCCACATTGCTCACCTGAGTCACCTTGGTCTGCTGTTCTGAAGATTTAATTTTCCCTGTTTAATACAAATGAATGAAAAATTTTGACCCCATAATTGTGTCTCCAACTTTGCCCAATGGATTAAAATTAAAATGAACTTAAATCCACAAGACTTGAAGATGCTTCAATATCAATATGACTTAAATGGCTTTCTCTTTTGGAGAAGAGAATTTTGACAATTTTATTCTTTTATACATGCATCATGTAAAATTTGATTTGAACTTGAATCTGCACTACCTAAGGATGCTTGCAAATTAATATCACTTATTATGACCTTACTGTTCTAAGATTAATTTATCCCCACATAAATCTTTGATCTCCCATTGAGGACCCAACCTACCCATGGGGGTCCTGATTTCAACAAACTTGAATCTACACAACAGGAAGCTTTCATGTTTCTTATCTGGCCAAGCAATTCTTGAGGAGATTTTTAAAATGACCCCCTCCAAATTTTCACTATTTCTTCATTATCTCCCCCTCAAAAGGGCATTATACTTCATTAGAATAAACTTGAATCCCCTTCACTCAAGTATGCTTTGTGACGAGTTTAGTTGAAATGGGCCCAGTGGTTCTTAAGAAGTTGAAAATGTGAAAAGTTTAGACCACACAACAGACCTACACTATTACTCTTAGATGAGAAAAACTCAATTGAGTTAAAGGTTCAGGTGAGCTAAAAATGTTGTTTTCCAACACCCTCCCCCTCCCCAAAGTAAAAAAAAAATAATTAAGAATCAGCCTAAAATACCATTTTATTAAATAAATAAATTTTCTCTATTAGTTGGTGTAAAATTTGTCTACAGAAATCAACAGCCATGATGCAATCAAAATAGATCTGTACCATAGCAACTGTTTTTCCTTCTACCCATAATTTCTTTTCATTTAGAATTTGTTCATTTGAGACATTTCCAGTGGAGTAGATAATCTTTATCTTTCTTTCAAATTAAATGTATTATCTGAAATATTTTCATACAAATGCCTCGACACTGTGATGTTAAACATTATGATATTAAATCATTAAAAATTCATTCTAAATGAGTTTTCTGTGCTATTTCTTTCCGATTATAGTATACAAACTGCAGAAAATGTAGTAAGAAGTTGTAAACTTCAAAGTAAAGCTATAATTGGCTCAAAATGAATACAATAATTATATCGGGTTAATATTATATCATCATCTGCTCCTATGAAAAATATGACTTCATTACCTGGGATGTTTTCATTGTAAACTTTTAACTTGTAAGATGGAGGCCAGGGTAATGTTTACTATAGAAACAAGATAACAACAAGCTAGTCTTAAAAAACAGCTGTATGTACAAGGTTAAAAAATAAACATGAGCAAAAAACATCTTAAAATAGAAAATTTTCAATCAGTAAAAGTTGATCCAAAATTTCAACAATGAAATAACTGAGAAAAAAAATATTTACAAATTTTGTTAATAGGAAAAATCATGCAGAGCACTATTATACATGAAATAATTTATCATTGTTTCTAGAAGTCTTAAAAGATAGCACTTAATTGCAGCAATCAGAATGGCACCAAGAATTATATTAAATACTGTAAATTATTTACAATTCTACAGCCTATTACCTAACAATATTCTTAGTAAGAGGACACTACACATGTATTAAACAAGCAGAAAAATACACCTATATTTACATGTTTTAAAAATGCCCTAATAATCAAACATTTATAAAAGTACAGCAGACATAGTGGGGCTAGGCCCTCACTGAGGCCATAGCACAGATGTACAGACTACATATTAAAATCTATCCAGGTCAAAGAATTAGACACACATATCTACTGATTCAACAAAACTTTTCTCCTTTACTTTGGCAATTCTAGGTGCTAGTAATTCAAGAGATTTCAAAGAAAACATAAATGACTGGAAACAAAAATCAGCTATATACGGTAAGTTTTCTTGCAGAACTGCAACGTCATTTGGTCATAGAAAGATAGTTGATAAGTGGGGGCCCCACAGAACGATACTTCTCAATGTTTACAAGTTAAGAGGTATCACTGATAAAACACTTAAGCAAATCATTTGCCAAATTTGCTGCAAAATTACAAAATACGAAACATAAATATCATTTAAATAACAAAGTTTCTATTTATAAGAGACTATCTACAAAATACGCTAATTCATTACCCTAAACTTAAAAAAAGATTTACTTGCAGGAGGAGGGTGTTATCTCAAAACATAATTTATATATCAGTTAGCTTACACTTTTTCTGAAGTAGACCCCATGAGTTATCCTGACATTTACCCCCCCCCCCCACCCCACCCCCTCCTCTGTTGTTTATCAAGGGAATTACCGGTACAAAAGTTATCTTTCTTAGCCTTTGCCTTTCTGATCTACTCACCTCAACCCCACTCTAATCTGCTAATGTAACCTGGGTAATTAAAATACATAAACTTAAGCTTCTGAAAAAACACTAAACGAATCATTAATTGAATTTACCACTATAGTAAATCATGTTTAATTCTTGAGAGCTATACTGAAACTGCCTCAATGCCAGAACAAGGGAATGTCTTGCAAAAAAGTTATACAAAACATTAGTGATTTCCAGTAGCGAATCTGAAAGAGAACCAGAAAAACTTTTAACTGAGTAATTAACATTGGGCACCTACAAATTCTGTGGGGCCCTCCCCTACATGCCACAAGTTTTACACAATATTTATGAAATAGAAGACAAACTTTTCTAATACTGCTCAAACACACAATTATTCAACAATGTCATTAACAAAAACTACAAAATATTGCAACCCAAAAACTCAGTGATGCAAGTGTAACATGATTTGGTCTGTCATAACAAATATTTGGGATGTACATTTATATGACTGAATGCGTATGAATGATAATGGCAATAGAGTGCTACATTACTATGCTGTTTATTCAGGTACATGAATTTCACTATATACAGATGAACTTATGAGTGTACATTACTTTGATCTACACTGAGCTGAAAGACAACCTGTTAACATAAAAAGAAGGTCAATATATACCTATAAAAGGAGACAGATGCCCTAGATCCCACTTACTCTCTCCGAGACCGCTTTCTGTGTGTTGTTAAATCTGAATCTGTACTTCGTTTACTGTGTTTGAAATGAACCTGTGACTGGGCTGTTAACTGTAACTTAATTGCACTCGCATTCAACTTGGAAGATGAAAAGATCTTTTTCAAACCTTTCATCTTTTGGCTCCTCAAGCACAGAATTACTGGTGGCCCTTGTTCATTAGGAGTGGGACTCGGAATGATTGTCTCTGACTGTCCCTCTCTATTTTCCAGTAGAGGGGAAGGTGTGTGGGTAAGAGCAGACGGAGGCCTCTTTCTGAACATGATCATGTCAGACGGACTCTCTGCTTTTAGCATGGAGTCAACAGTCATTCCCATGAAGGGAGATCCATTGGACTTGCTGCTCAGGAAATCATCCAGATCTCCTCTAGAAGAAGCTTCTGAGGTTGATGTTGTTACTGAAGTTGTGGTGGTTGCTGTGGTGAAAGGTTCTCCACCTCCCAGTAAAAACTCAGGATTCAAAATGGACTCACTGCAAGCTTTAGCCAGGTCTGGGATGTTTGGATTTATATCCTCCTTCTCATTTTCCTCTCCTCCTACTTTGCTTTCGAGTTCTTGAATGGCGCTCTTAATCTTATCCTCCTCTGAATTGCCGTTTACTGTGGACGTTTTTGAGACTGTAGAAATGGTCCTCCTTTTGCCTGGCCTTCCCCCTCTACCCTTCCCTGTAGGTACTCCCCCTTCCATATCACTTTCCTCCGTCCTATTTCGTGAACTTTCTTCCTTAACATTCTGATTTTTGTCCTTTGTTTCACCACTATTATTATCTTCATCATCACTATCCTCACTTTCATCTTCATCCCCATTTTCTCCTTTCAGATCTACCCCAACTCTTACACTGGTGTCGAACTTTGAGATTGAGAACACCAGCTGTTTGGCCCATGTGATGTGAAGGACGGGGGTAGGACTATCCTCTTCCCACTCACATATGCCATCATAAAAGCGTAGAAAATTGGCATAGCTCTCAGGGCTGTACAGAAGTGAGGTGTGATGAATCCTGGCTGCGTTTTCACCTGCCACATGTTTCATCATGGAGGGAATCAGATCATTGGCTATCTCTAAGAATTCCTTGTAGATCTCCTCATCTTCCCTGCTATAGTTATACCTGAAAGGTTCAAGGAAATGTGTGGAAAAATTTCTGAAATTCATTTAAAAATTTATTAGGAATGGAAAAGGTTAATTGACTAATTGGTTGGAAAGATTGTAATTAGTTAAACAGTCAAGCCATATTTTTTCCAGTATATGTATTTTTTTTAAATAAATGTCATATTTCATATTTTAAACTCTTAAAAGATTAAAGTTAAGAGACACAATTTTTTTCTGCCAGTAACCTTGACAGAATTTTTATAAAATATCTCCATGTCACAACACAAATTTTTATGCTAAGTGTGAGCTCCCCCAAATGGTATTTAATCCCACAGAAAAAAAAAATGAATGAACAATAAATACTTTTTGATGACTGAAGCTGCATCCGCCCAGGCTTGAAGTGCTCCATGGTAGTCTTGTTTGCGGTAAAGATACCCTCCCAGATACGTATAAGGGTAGACATGCTGGTCATTGTAAAACTCCTGACTGCTCGCTATTGCTTCATGAAAAAGTTCTATTGGTTTCTGTCGATTTTCTGTAGGGGATATCTCCTCCAGATCGCCAAGGTTACCAAGTGCCATTGGATATCTGTAAAGGTTTTCTTTTAAAATTTTGCTGATAACTGAATAAATGTCAATAAATTCTTGAAAGTCAAGTTTTTGCATGGAAATTGATAAATGTACTAGTAAACAGCTTACTTTTTCAAATGCCCTAGGTCATACAGAAGCCACAAAAGTTCCTGCAATACATGAAAAAACTCTAATTTATTATCTTCATTATTTTACATACTAATATATAATGGAAACAAGAGGCCCACGGGCCTTAACGGTCACCTGAGTACAACAAATTAGAGGATCCATAAACTGATAAATGAAGCTTTGTTGTCCAAAAGCAAGAAAAATAGTATGATTAAGATCAACAAAATAATTGGTCTAGTAACTATCTATCTTTCCCCCATTCATCAATATTACCATGCAGACTTTTAACAAAATATCTATTTTTAACCCCATATTATTACCTCTCACATTGGCCTCACTTGGCCTAATTGAAGAACATTTAAGAAGATAAGTTATTTTTGTTTCATTTTTTCATCTATTATTTCCAAGTCTACCTGATCATTAAAACTATGAAAGTACTTTTTGTATTATACAATTAATGTTCTTGCATAATTCTCTTATTCTATTAACCTTTCAAATATATTATCTACAGTGATTAATTATCAAAGGTGAATGGCAAAGGGGAATAATTTCACTCAGTAGAATACAAATTAATAGAGCCCTCGCCAGGACCAGAACACTTGACCAAATGGTCCAGATGTTTAAAATTCTGGTAAAAATTCCCTTGTTTATTAAAACTTTACTCTGTTTGCCTCCAATATGCCCAGGAGCAGAGAAGATTTTCAAAGAAATAATGCATTTTCACTATTTAACACAGCCCTACCCTAACACCAGAACCCATGACCCAGGGTCATGAAATTTACAAATTTGGAAGAGGTACCCTCATCATCATAACTATGCAATTAGTTGAAGATTTTCAAAGAATTCACACATTTTCACTATATTATCAATAGTGCCCCCCCCCCCCCCTCAGAGAAACAACAGAACCCCTAGGATCACAAGTTTTAAAAATTTTGTAAAAGCATCCTTGCTCATCATAACTACCGGTATACATTTGTTTCTTTGCTTTATAACCAGCAGTAGAAAAAAAATATTTTGAAAGAAATTATGAATTTTCACTGTATAATCAGTAGAGCCCCCCCTTTTTACCAGAACCCCTGACCCTGGGGTCATGAATTTCACAATTTTGGAAGAGGCATTCTTGCTTATCATAACCATGCACTTCCTTTGTTTAAATAATACCCAGGAGCAGAGAAGATTTTCAAAGAATTGATGCATTTTCACTATATAATCAATAGAGCCCCGCCCTAACACCAGAACCCCTGATCCAGGGGCCATGAAATTCACAATTTTGGAAGAGGCACTCTTGCTCATCATAACTATGTTCTGAGTTTCTTTAATACCCATGAGCAGAAGAGAAGATTTTCAAAGAAAATAAGCTCAATGCTTATTACAATCATGCCAACAGTTTGACTGCTTGATGTCCAGGAGTAAAGAAGAAGATTTTTAAAGATTGCATTAATTTTAGTGGTTTTTGACCCACCCCTCAGGCCCAAGGGGGCAGGGACCATGAAATTCACAAATTTTGTCCCTCTTCACCCATAGATGCTATATGCCAAATTTGGTTGAAATTGGTTGAGCGGTTTCAGAGAAGAAGCTGAAAATGTTCAAATGTTAACGCACGCCGACGGACGAAAACGGATAGCAATAGGTCACCTGAGTAAACTCAGGTGACCTAAAAAAACTACAGGGAAACCCATTTTTTTTCAATCAGGAATTCAAAGAGTTGTACAGAGAAATAAAGTACCTGTTGTAGTGACCCTAACTCCACACTGTTCATAGTAAAGCGTACAAAGAAACAAAGTACCTGTTGTAGTGACCCTAACTCTACACTGTCCATAGTTACCCTACAGAGAAACAAAGTACCAGTTGTAGTGACCCTAACTCTACACTGTCCATAGTAAAGCATACAGAGAAACAAAGTACTAGTTGTAGTGACTCTAACTCCACACTGTCCATAGTAAAGCATACAGAGAAACAAAGTACCAGTTGTAGTGACCCTAACTCCACACTGTCCATAGTAAAGCGTACAGAGAAACAAAGTACCAATTGTAGTGACCCTAACTCCACACTGTCCATAGTTACCCTACAGAGAAACAAAGTACCAGTTGTAGTGACTCTAACTCCACACTGTCTATAGTAAAGCGTACAGAGAAACAAAGTACCAGTTGTAGTGACCCTAACTCCACACTGTCCATAGTAAAGCGTACAGAGAAACAAAGTACCAGTTGTAGTGACCCTAACTCCACACTGTCTATAGTAAAGCGTACAAAGAAACAAAGTACCTGTTGTAGTGACCCTAACTCAACACTGTCTATAGTAAAGCGTACAGAGAAAAACAAAGTACCAGTTGTAGTGACCCTAACTCCACACTGTCCATAGTAAAGCATACAAAGAAACAAAGTACCTGTTGTAGTGACCCTAACTCTACACTGTCCATAGTAAAACGTTGTACAGAGAAACAAAGTACCAGTTGTAGTGACCCTAACTCCACACTGTCCATAGTAAAGCGTACAGAGAAACAAAGTACTAGTTGTAGTGACCCTAACTCCACACTGTCCATAGTTTCCCTACAGAGAAACAAAGTACCAGTTGTAGTGACCCTAACTCCACACTGTCCATAGTTCCCTACAGAGAAAAAAAGTACCAGTTGTAGTGACCCTAACTCTACACTGTCCATAGTTACCCTACAGAGAAACAAAGTACCAGTTGTAGTGACCCTAACTCTACACTGTCCATAGTAAAGCATACAGAGAAACAAAGTACCAGTTGTAGTGACTCTAACTCCACACTGTCCATAGTAAAGCATACAGAGAAACAAAGTACCAGCTGTAGTGACCCTAACTCTACACTGTCCATAGTAAAGCGTACAGAGAAACAAAGTACCAGTTGTAGTGACCCTAACTCCACAATGTCCATAGTAAAGCTTACAGAGAAACAAAGTACCAGTTGTAGTGACCCTAACTCCACACTGTCCATAGTAAAGCGTACAGAGAAACAAAGTACCAGTTGTAGTGACCCTAACTCTACACTGTCCATAGTAAAGCATACAGAGAAACAAAGTACCAGTTGTAGTGACCCTAACTCCACACTGTCCATAGTAAAGCGTACAAAGAAACAAAGTACCAGTTGTAGTGACTTTAACTCCACACTGTCTATAGTAAAGCGTACAAAGAAACAAAGTACCAGTTGTAGTGACCCTAACTCTACACTGTACATAGTAAAACGTTGTACAGAGAAACAAAGTACCAGTTGTAGTGACCCTAACTCCACACTGTCTATAGTAAAGCGTACAGAGAAACAAAGTACCAGTTGTAGTGACCCTAACTCCACACTGTCCATAGTTACCCTACAGAGAAACAAAGTACCAGTTGTAGTGACCCAACCTCCACACTGTCTATAGTAAAACGTACAAAGAAACAAAGTACCAGTTGTAGTGACCCTAACTCTACACTGTACATAGTAAAATGTTGTACAGAGAAAAACAAAGTACCAGTTGTAGTGACCCTAACTTCACACTGTCCATAGTAAAGCATACAAAGAAACAAAGTACCTGTTGTAGTGACCCTAACTCTACACAGTCCATAGTAAAGCATACAGAGAAGCAAAGTACCAGTTGTAGTGACTCTAATTCTACACTGTCCATAGTAAAGCGTACAGAGAAACAAAGTACCAGTTGTAGTGACCCTAACTCCACAATGTCCATGGTAAAAGGTTGTACAGAGAAACAAAGTACCAGTTGTAGTGACCCTAACTCTACAGTGTCCATAGTAAAGCGTACAGAGAAACAAAGTACCAGATGTAGTGATCCTAACTCTATACTGTCCATAGTAAAGTGTACAGAGAAACAAAGAACCAGTTGTAGTGACCCTAACTCCACACTGTCCATAGTAAAATGTACAGAGAAATAAAGTACCTGTCATGGTGACCTACTTTTTGGATGACACACTTTGAGGACTCAAGATGTATCAACTGACAAAGTTTGATAATTCCAAGCCAATTAGTATCTGAAAATATATAAATTTAGCCATGAAGTTGCAAAAGTAGGTCACAGTGACCTACTTTTTGGTTGATACACGAGGATTCAAGATGCATCAACTGACAAAGTTTGATGATTCTAAGCCAATAAATATCTGAAATAGCCATCAAATTCCTAAAAGAGGGTCATGGTGACCTACTTTTTGGTTGACACTCTCTGGGTACCCAAGATGAATCAACTGACAAAGTTTGATAATTCCAAGCCAATTATTATCTGAAATATATAAATTAAGCCATGAAATTGCGAAAGTAGGTCACAGTGACCTACTTTTTGGTCGATACATTCTGAGGACTCAAGATGCATCAACTGACAAAGTTTGATGATTCTAAGCTAATTAGTATAGGAAATATTTAAATTAAGCCATGAAATTGCAAAAGTAGGTCAATGTGACCTACTTTTTGGTAGACACACTCCAAGGACTCAAGATGCATCAACTGACTTAGTTTGATGATCCCATGCTTCAAAGTGTCCAAAATATGCCCCTAAAACAATTTGAAAATGAATACCTATAAAATTCTAAAAGTATGTCACTGTGACCTACTTTTTGATAAATCTGTTTTAAGGCCCCTAGGTGCATCATAGGGCTGTCACGGTTTCAAAATTTTTCGGGTCGGGTCGGTTCTGTAAATTTTCGGTTCGGTTTCGGGTTTTTCGGGTCGGGTATTTACATCTATTTTAAACCTTAGTTTCATGAATTTAACTTGAACAAGAGGCCCATGGGCCACATCGCTCACCTGAGTAACTTTGGCCATGCTGTTCTTTACCAAATTCCCCCCCCCCCTTGTAATACGTATTGTGGCCCCGCCCTACCCCCAGGGGGTCCTGTTTGAACAATTTAGAATCTACACTACCCAAGGATGCTTCCACATAAGTTTCAGCTTTTCTGGCCAAGTGGTTCTTGAGAAGAAGATTTTTTAAGATTTTTCCTATATATTTCAATGTAAAACTTGGATTCCCTATTGTGGCCCCGCCTATCCCCCGGGGTCATGATTTTAACAATTTAGAATCTACACTACCCAAGGATGCTTCCATATAAGTTTCAGCTTTTCTGGCCCAGTGGTTCTTGAGAAAGAGATTTTTTAAAATTTTTCCTATATATTTCAATGTAAAACTTGGATTCCCTATTGTGGCCC